AAAATCAAGAAGTCTCTCAGCGGTTTTTATTGAAACCCGGGACCTGCCCCATGCAGCGCATTTTAAACGTACTGTACGAGCACAAGCAGGAGATCACCAAGGCACGCACTTCTGAGAATGCCTGCCTGAGGTTTAGGGTATAGAATGAGAAGCTGCGGTATAAACTGACGTCGAGAAGATGTTAGGAGCTCAAAATGGGGGAAAGAAGAAGGAACCTCACTAAAAGCAGTGAGGTGTGAGTAAAGATCCCAATTGCCCGATCAAAAATTTCCAGCGAGGGCTACGGAAAGGTGGTGAATAGCAAGGAGAAGTAAGAATGATTGGAAAATGATCACTGTCATGTAAGTCCGGTAGAACAGACCAGGTGAAGTCTAGTGCAGTGGAGGAAGAGCAGACTGATAGATCGATCAAGAGAGAGTATGAGTACGAGGATCAAAATGGGTGGGAGTACCCGTATTTAAAAAATGGAGGGGTGAGAGGCGAGAAAAACCTCCAACTGGGTGCCACGTCAGTCACAATGAACCCCCCCCCGAGGAAATGGTGGGCATTAAAATCACCAAGTAACAGAAGTGGTGGTGGTAAGGATGAAACAAGAAAGGCAAAGTCTGGGGTAGAAAATGCCCAGAAGGAAGAGATATAAAGAACATAGTAAACCCCTTATTCAAGGTACGGGGTGCAGTGTAAAGCAGCGAGGTATGGACAAATAGTTTTACAGTACGGAAATCATTGCGTAGAAGAAGGGCACTTTCATTAAAGGTCCCATCTGAGAAAGGAACCCAAGAATACAATAAATTAAAGCCTGAGATAGTTGGAAAACAGCCGAGTGTATTTTGGCTCTTGTAAGCAAGCACTAAAGGGGAAAACCTGGAAAGCAACATCTGAAGCCACCCTGATTACCCCGAGGCCGCGGATATTCCATGAAAAAAGGCCATGATTGGCGATGAAGGAAAATACCAGGAATCTGTAGGGAAAGGCACCTACGGACTGAGGGGTTAGAAAAGTCAACGTATGGTGGCATTGGAAGACGTTCAAGCAGCGAAGGAATGGAGCATTGCAAAGAATGGGGTTGTGAAGATGGAGGAGGGGGGAAGAGAAGGAACAGGGAAATGAATCAGTGTCCATGAAGGTTAGTCTTTCAATATATTCTGAAATGGCTTCAAGTGTTTCTGAATTCAAGATGTATGGGGGACCATATTGGAGATAGAAGGAGGAGGGTGAGTAAAGATTGGGACAGTAATGGACTGTACCAAAGTAGAGGGGGAGGGGAAAGTGTAAGGGACTGGAGATGAAGTGTGGGGGGGGGGGGGGGGGCAGAAGAGGCAGAAACCTGGGAGGTGTCAGAAGAGGGAGAAAATTGGGAGGGGACGGGGTGGAAGGCATAGTACGAGGAGGAGGGTGAATCTCCTCACTTGTAATAGAGCCAGAGAGAGGGGAAGAACTAGGTACAGAGCTGGAAAGGTAAAGGTGGAGGTGGAATAAGGGAAGGAAGGGGCAAAGAAGATTTGAGCAATGTGGATTTTTTGGACTTCTGAGAAGTAAGGGGCGATTGGTATTAGGTGTCGTACGAGGTCTTGTTGATACTGGGGCTTGTGAGGAAGGACGCGAAGATGTGAGAACAGACTGAGTTTTTAGTCAGGACGTCATGAGCCAAGGACAGCAAAAGGATTAGATGCCGGAGTGGCTATGGAGGGGTAACAACGGAGGAGGCTGCAGAAGATGGGACCCAGAATGTGGGGGGGATGTTTAAAAGGAAACACGAGAATAAAAACACGGGTTAGTCTCCCTTGGAGGCGGAGATGAGTAACGCCATAGCATAAGGGAGACCTGCCTCTTTGAGGCAACGGATTTCACGTTCATTAAGTAGACCTGGCAACGGCGGGAGTACGAAGGGTGAGCTTTATTACAATTTTTGGCAAGATGGAGGGTTTACTGCAAGATGTATTAGAATGGCGTCGGCACCACAGACTGGGCATTCGGCCATAGATTTTGCAATATTTCGCTGGTGGACCAAAAAACCCCGCAATTTCTACATTGTTGCGGTGTAGGTATCACCTTTCGAACTTGTAACCGATGTCCCGCGACATATACAGAGGACGGGAGTTCTCGGCTGTCAAAAGTTAAACGAGTCGCATTGCAAGGGTAACGTCTCCGCCCCCGGGCAGGAAGGACATAAGTGTCTACTTTGAGGATTGGGAGATCCTGGAGTTCCAGCTGTTCAAGAATGTCATTGCCACATGACTGGAAATTCTGTTGGACTATGGTATGGGGCAGAATGACAGTACCACTACAAGAATTGAGAGAAAGATGTTTTTCAATAGTGATAGGATAGGGTAGCAATAGTGATAGGAGTTGATCCCATGTATCAGAAACCTTCCCTATGAGGATAGACTGAGGGCCCTGAATCTGCACTCTCTAGAAAGACGTAGAATTAGGGGGGATATGATTGAGGTGTATAAATGGAAGGCAGGAATAAATAAAGGGGATGTAAATAGTGTGCTGAAAATATCTAGCCTAGACAGGAGTCGCAGCAATGGTTTTAAGTTGGAAAAATTCAGATTCAGGAAGGATATAGGAAAGTACTGGTTTGGTAATAGAGTTGTGGATGAGTGGAACAAACTCCCGAGTACAGTTATAGAGGCCAGAACGTTGTGTAGCTTTAAAAATAGGTTGGATAAATACATGAGTGGATGTGTGTGGGTGTGAGTTGGACCTCATAGCTTGTGCTACCAGGTCGGTTGCCATGTTCCTCCCTTAAGTCAATGTGACCTGACCTGACTAGGTTGGGTGCATTGGCTTAAGCCGGTAGGAGACTTGGACCTGCCTCGCATGGGCCAGTAGGCCTTCTGCAGTGTTCCTTCGTTCTTATGTTCTTATGTATCGATATTCGAAAGGAGAGAAAGATCATGAGCTTGGGTAGCATTCTGGACAGTGACGATGCGCGTACCGCTCTTGAGAGCATAAAATGAAATATCTCTACCAACATGACGCAGGAGCGCTTTGCCAATACTATGGTCAGAAAGGTAGGCAGAAGAAGAAGTCGGTCTTAAAGTAAAGAATTTAGTCCATTGTGTGGTCCGAAACTGAGCGTGGAGAGGGAGTGCTTGATGTGTCGGTCTTTTCCGAGTAGAATGGGAAGGTAACGAAGGAGCATCATCAGGAGATTGACGTTGGCGTTTAGGAGTAGGACCGGAGTTGGTCCGGCATGAGATGGGTGGGCGATTCGAAAATTGCCGTACCGTAGAGGGAGAAGCCGGAAGCATAGTCAAAGGAGAGCGGAGTTCAGACAAATCGAAGGAGTCAGTCGAAGCCCCGGTACCTGAAGCGGGTGAGGAAACAGCACCAGCAAGAGGTACAGGGGCATCAGGAATGTCCGAAGACAGGGTCAGAATGGGGTGCGGTATCAAGAAGGGGCCCGGGGGTAGTGGGTTCATGGATTGGGTTCTCCATGGTTAGGTTACTCCTTTGCTTTTTGTTTTTAAGAAAAAAAAAGAAAGAAGAAAAGAAAATAAAAATAAAAAAAGAATAAAAAAAGGGGGGAGCGGGGAGGAATAGTTCCCAGGAGGAATGAAAGGGCCGGGAAAACTCCCTCCGCGCCCAAGAGGACCTCAGCACCGCTAGTAGCGCAGATGCAGCATGGAACCCGTGCCAACCCTACCCTTCATGCCAGTAAACCAGCAATCCGGGATAGCAACCCCACATCTGCCGAGCTAAACCCCGGTGGACAAAAGAGAAAGGGCCGGCTGGATATCCGCCTCAAAGCATACCTCCTTCGGCCACCACCCCCGGAATCCGAAGGTGCTTCCCGAGACACCCGATCGGCCCGAAAGACACCCAAAGCCTACTCCTGGGATACGGAGAGGGATCGGGACATCCCCAGGCGATCCAGATTCCACAGCAAACTACGCCACCGCCAAGAACTCAACGGAATGGGATGGAGCCCGGTTCCTTTCCCTAACCCCTAGGAACTAGCACGCTGTGGGAGAAATCCCAAAGGCCAAAAAGAGGAAGGGCAAAAGGGAGGGGTGGGGAGGAGGAGGAGGAATGGAAAAAGGGGAGGATCGGATAGGGGAGGGGAGAATGGGGGGTAATTAGGTTCGGTCTGAGGAAGAAGACCGACAGGTCCTAATTCTCAGAACCAAGAGCCTCTTCATCCACGCCAGGAGCCCCCTTGAAGAGGGGAAAATCTGGAGCAAAGGCAATAAGACAGGCGTCAATATAGCGTCATGGATAAGGATGTGCAGCAGACGAGGGCATGGTCCACTGGTAGGCAGATTCCCAAGTGGAAGTAGGTCCATTCCCAAAGAGATGGTTAGTTATCGCAGCCGTGAAGAAGGTTTTGTAGATGTCCTCTGAACCAAGATTCCATGATGTTGCAGTGCCTGACAAGTTGTGCAAGAAATAAAAATAAACCTTGAAGTAGTTCCAAATAAGTCATCTAATAACAAATGATTGAAACCATTATCGTTTTATATGATTATCTGGGATGCTTTAACATAAATTACAAAATAATTGTATTCAAGAATTATTAATATCACAAAATGGATGTCTCTAATCTGATTTAAATTTTAATCATTACAACAATCATGTAAAAAATAACAAGTGAGGCTCCTGTGTTGTAGGATTGCATACAGTTCTGGCGGAAAAACAGAAAATCACTGTTTAGATATTGTACTTTCTGTAGTAATTTATTTCCCTTTGATGGCTTCTGGTCTTGCTTTCAGTTTCTTTAAACTGGGTTACTAATAATTCTTTATTCTTCGTAATATAAAAGTAGAGTAATTCTACTTTGATTACTGTATTACACAATGTTTAATTTAGTGAACATTTTGTCTCATAAATATTGCGTTTGTTTGACAGAAATTTTTTTTTCCACCGTTCCTGTGACCAAACTTGAATCTCATTTAGCAGTGTAAGCCTTGATATTGTGTGTAGAAGGCCAGCTTAGAGAACATGAGGCATCGAAACAAGCAGTTTTTGGAACAAATGAAATTTGGCTCATAATGGAAGCTGATTCTATAATATCCAAGATTAAAGATCAGGTAACATTTCTAGATTTTCAGTGATTAATATTATATCAGCACTACTTTCCGTAAGATAAATTTTAAGCTCTGCAAAATGGGGTTAAAAAAATGAGAAAATATTGTTTGTATAAGAGTATAACTTTTTTTATATTAGTAAACAATTCCTTGTGCAGCAGTTATATTCAAGAAAAGAATTGGTTCAAATAATTCATGTTGTAAAACTTGAAACATATTGAAGAAAAAAATAGGTTATGGTTTCCAGGACTGAACTTAATCTAAAATAGAATGCAGTATTGTACAACTTGCTTCTCCTTCTGGCAGCTCTGACTTACAAAAATTGTTTATCCATTAAAAAAGTTCTTGTAGGCTACTAGAAGGGGAGTTTAAGGTTGTGGTTCTTTGTGGATGTTGCTCAAGCTATTCAGATGTAGTGGATTTTCTTGGGTGGTGACAAAGTATTCTTTTATGGACTTTGTTATGTTGTAGCCTTCATTGATTTAAAGAGCAAGTGATATAGTAGTGTCAACATCCTTCCCATTCATTGGACTAACAGGAAATGAATAAATGGGCTTCCTGCTGTAATAGGTATGAGGTTTCCTGATGGGCATTAACACACAAAGCAGTATGAGATGATGAATATAGTGACGCTAGAGCCTGGTGCAATCATTCTCTTGCATTCTGTTGTAGGTGCCCGATATCATTAATTATAAACATAACTGTCTCATCTGAAAACCTTGTTTGGGTTGTATTCATTATTTTGAGCAGTCTGGGAAACGGTCAGCTAGGTGATCAGCAGATCATCTCCCTAGAAAACTTAATTGTTGCATAGTGTTTTGCTCTTCAAATGTTCAAACTGCCCAGATCTAACATTTGATTGCTCACAGCAGTAGCAGACATACTCCTTAATCACAAGTCCACGAATTTCAGCCTCCTTTTTTTTTCTGATTTTATCCCCATAATCCTTGAGTGAAACAACTGCTGTCTTATTGAAAATGTACAGACTTTCCTCATCTTTTTTCAGTGTTCAGGGTTTCCTAGCAGTATACGCTCACACAGAGCTATTGTAGCATCCTAACTCTTCTAAGCTGTATGATGGTCAAATGGTTTACTTTTATTTTTTTGTCAGTAGGCCTCTCATAGATTCTCATTTGTCAATACTGCCTAGCAGCCTGTTGGTTGCTATGGTAATGGCAGTGAGGAATTTGTAGTAAAGACAAAAGAAGCATTTAGATATGACAGCAAATGATGTGAGAGTAATTGACACAGTGACTTAAGCAATAGTGGAGGTGGTAAGAGTAGGAAAGTAGTTTGTCCAAACAACCACATCACATGAGGCTACTCAGACCTATCATGTCTCCTGGGCAGTCCTGCATTATTCAGATTCTTGTATTTTTGACCGTGCTTAATAGCAAATACCAAGAAACTACCTTAAGGGTTGCGAGGTATAGCTTCATTCAATTCAAAGCATGGTTGAAAGTAATTTTAGAAAAAAAATTTACTTTATTTTATTATGATTAGTTAAAATAGTACAATTCCTTCTAATAATGAGTGGATGCTCTTAGTTTATTATTTGTGAATATTGTATTAGGAGTGTCGGAATACTTATTATATTATATACTGGTATTTATTTATGATAATTGCTTTTGTAATTAGTGTCCCCCTGAGGCTGGTGCCCAAGATGTTGCTGTTATTGAAGAGATGCTGAAAAGACGGGGTAGAGAGTTTGAGACTGTGTGGCTTCAACATCAATACATGCTAGAGAGACAACTGAAACGGTCACAGTATCATGTTGACCTCCAGGTATTGAAAAAACTAATTCTCTATTCACTTAATTATTTAGAATGATGATATTAATTTTAAAATGATAGTGACTAAAATGCATAATATTTTGACCACCTCTGCCTTCTCTCATCAAATAGGGTGCCCCATCCCAAAGAAAAAAACAGTAACCATGTAATTGTATTTTTTATATACCGCAACTGCCTGTAGGCTGAAGCAAGTACTATGACTCTTTAGACTGTGTGAAATACTACTATGTAAAACCTAAATATTAAAACTGAATTATAAGACTTCAGTCATTTTAAGATAGTATCTTATACCATCTGTGATGTTTAAAATTTTTCTTTTTAAGGTGATCAGTGACCAGCTGCGTGATCTGAGTGAGCAGCTCAGTCGTATGCGAGGTCATTATGGTGATTCATTGGCAGCAGCTACAAATATGCAGACTGCATTCAATCAGTTCCTGATTACTGTTGATGTAAGTTTCCTGTGAGATTTGAATAACCTCCACATTAAATCTTATAGTCTCTCATATCATTGTTTAAGTTGTTTTTAGCTATATGTTTTAGCTAATGGATCAGTTGATCTCAGTCATACTTTTAGGCTTGACTCTGAAGGAAGTGAAGGTGAAAGTGTTTCTTTCACTGATGGTCTTTTCTTTATCTGTATTCACATGGAATCATAGATTTGTTGCATTTTCCTGCCTTCTGTCTTTTTCAATCTTTCTTTCCTAATTTTTTTTTTTTAACACATCAGCTGTTTCCCACCGAAAGAATTGGTAACTTCTTCATCAGGACGTTGAATAACCAATCTATACAAATCATTAACAGATGTTTAAAGTGATTTCTCGACTATCTTTTAATACTTAAAAGCATTTGAAATGTCTGGGAAACATTCTACATGAATTCCTACCCTCTTAACAAAACAAACAAAGCAAAAGTTTATTTCTTTGCAAAGGTCACAATGTGTGTGTTTAAAAATAAATAACAAAAAGGCACAATACCGTGACTGGAACGATACACAAATAACCCGCACATAAAAGAGAGAAGCTTACGACGACGTTTCGGTCCGACTTGGACCATTGACAAAGTGACTTTGTCAATGGTCCAAGTCGGACCGAAACGTCGTCGTAAGCTTCTCTCTTTTATGTGCGGGTTATTTGTGTGTGTGTGTGTTTACATTTCATAATTTGATTGGTACAAAGAAAACCACTATCATGCCGAGGCATTTCGGGCAGACTTAACCTAATACTTAGACTACAAACCAAGGAAGACCATGGAGGAAGCATGCATTGTGGGTTTATGATTTACTCTACCAATGGACAAAGAAAATACAATGAAAGATGAGTAATGTATATACAGCTGGGGTTCCCAGACTTGGGTATGTGTTCCCTCAGAGATACACAAGGGGATTGTAAGGGGTGAGTGAGTTAGAATTATTGGTTGTGTTATTGTCCTCATTATTTTTTAAATTTGTTTATTTTTTTAACACATTGTTTACATATATTCAGTATTTTATAGACAGATGTTTGCAAATATTGAGATAACCTTGTATAATAAAATAAGTGTTGCAGTGCTGTACTTACATAATAGTACATCAAAGTATGTTCTTGTAAAAATATCAATAATCATCATTAGGTGTTGCACCAGTTAATATGCAAGTAGAGTTGTGAAGAATTAAAGTACACAAATGTAAAGAAGTTTCCTTTGTAATGTGTGATGCTTCTTAACTAGTGACCATGTACTATCTTTTTGTAACTCTTATTTATTGTATTCCTTACCCAGATGTTAGAAAACCGTATTCAGACATTTGTTAGTACAACCATAAAGATGTTGGGGCCAGAAGATGACTCAGGAGAAGTACAAGAAGATTTGGCAGAGTTGGAGAAAAAATGGTCCACTTTCCAAATGCAAGTTGGACAATCCAAGAAATCAATAGAGCTTTCCATAGCTTTTTAAA